GACACCAAGTAATGAAGTTTTCATTATTAAGCTGAAAAATCTTGAATGAAAAAAATGAACCTTCTTGTCCATCGCTGTCATCTTTCAGCCAGCTCTCATGCCACATCTTTGTCTCAGCACTGTTGAACCAAGCATAAGACTTAAAACCTTGTTAGGTTGCTAAAGGATGGCAATGGCTTCTGTGATAAAACTGATTCTGGGCTCAATTGCCCTCGTAATCTTCTGGATGCTGGCTGTTTGCCCTGCTGTTCCATTTTTACCTATAGGGAGGACTGCAGGTTCTCTCTTCGGAGCTGTGCTTATGGTTGTTTTCCAAGTAATAACAGGAGATGAAGCATATGATGCAACTGATCTTTCAATTCTTGGTCTTCCTTTTGGAACAATGGTTGTGAGTGGATATCTTGAAAGAGCTGGTGGCTTTAACCAATTGGGCAAGTTGCTTTCATATATGGAAGAGCCAAGGCGCAAAAGACTTAATCTGCCGAATCTGCATAATTTCTGCCATTTCAAGTGCTTTGTTCACCAATGACACCTCCTGTATGGTTTTGACTGAATTAATATGTTTTCAAAATTGCCATGCAGAACAATCTTCCACCACACCCTTTCCTTCTTGCCCTGGCCTTGAGTGCTAATATTGGGTCTGCAGCAACTCCAATTGGTAATGCCCAAAACCTGGTTATAGCTATTGAGGGTGGGAGTTTGTAGCTGCAATCCTCCCTTCAGCAGTTCTAGGAATTGTAGTGAATGCTTTATTTCTTCTATATATGTATTGGGATGTGTTCTCTATTCAGAAGAATGAAGAACACTCATCTGAAGATTTTGTGGCCAAGGAAAGTGTGAATTCTCATCAGTTTTCTCCAGCTACCATGTCACATTTGGCATCAACATATTCTCCAGGACAAACCTCAAGATATGCAAGTGAGAGTGAAATCCATTTGGTCGAAAATGCTATTTGGAGCTCAAGAAATTCAAATGCTTCTCAAAGATGGAAAGAGAAGATGTGGAAATCTGGCGTTTATTCTCTCATTGTAGGAATGTTGATAGCTTTGCTTATGGGTCTTAAACTCTTAATATGTCATAGACTGCAATCACTGCTGCACTTGCCCTTATGGTTCTTGATTCAAGGATGCCATGCCATGCCTTGAAAAGGTAAAATTTACTGGCTTTATCCTTAAGAGTTAGACATTGGAAAGATGTAAATACCTTTTTCAAAAACTTATTCTTTCTGTCTTGAACAGGTATCCTAACCTCTTTTAATCTTTTTCTGCAGGATATTTTTCACGATTGAAGTCTTCAATAGAACTGGAATTCTTAACACGTTGTGGGAGTTGGTAGAGCCCTATGCTCGTATTGATGAAGCCATTGGAGTAGCAATTCGTGGATTTATCATCCGTGTCCTGTCTAATGTGATTTCAAATGTGCCGATGGTATGTTTATATATTTTTTTCTATGTATTACTTATTCTTCCTCCAATAGTTTCTCTTAACCAATAAACTTAACAAAATTGGTTACATGCCAACTACTTAAGCAATTTAATGATAATTTCTTTTAATAAAAATAAAAAATCTTATGTTTCAGTGGTATACATGTAAGTGAAGTAAGTTAAGAAATAAAAAAACAATCTACCTCACATTCTACAACCCAAAATAATAATTTAAAAAAAAGGCCATATAACCTAATTTATTCAACTGGCTAAGAGTCCTTTTGTTCATAAATATTACGAGACAAATTGGTAAATTTAACAAGTTCCTAGTACCCACACAACAGTTCTTCTCCATCTATCTGACGCAGGAACTATGTTAAGATAAACTCAAATAATTTCCCTTCTACGGGATATATAAAGATATTAACATTCTGATATAACACAAAAACAAAACTCTAATCCTAAAGTTTGAAACTTAATGCAGTAAGCACCTCACTTTTCTTTTACATATATATATATATATGTGTGTGTATGTGTGTGTGTTGAAAGAAAGTCCAATCCCATGCATGTGAACACATGGACTTTCCATGTGGAAGTTTGCTTCACCGGCCTATAAGCCAATTGTGGGCTAGATTGATTTGTTGAAATCTTTCAAAGATTGCATGTAGACCCATTTAATGGGCAAAGAAAATCTTGGCTGGGTGGTAATGAGGCAAAGAAAAATGGTGCATGGGTAGTTGGATTTTTCACTATAAATACCCATGCATGCAAAGGCAATGTGCAAGCAAGAGTAGGAGAAAGCAAGAGAAGGAGAAAGCAAGAGAAATTGAGGAAGAGCTCTTGTGAGAGAAAAGAAAGAGAGAAATTGTGAGAGAAAAGAAAGAGAGAAATTGTGAGAAATCCTTGTGTAGATTAAGAGAGAGTATTAGGGAGAATTTGGGAGCTTTTATAGATTGAAGCTAGGGGTTGAGAGCTTCTTAAGTGAGAGAACTTCCAAATTATTGTACTCTTTTTTCTTAATAGTGGATTTATTTCTCTTTTTTCCTTGGATGTAGACTTGTTGAGAGGTGTACAAGTCGAACCACGTTAAATTGTTGTCTCAATTTTTTTATCGCTTTTGTTTGTGTGGGATGTTTGTGTGGGATTGTGGTGTTCGAAATTCCCAACAATGTGGAAGGATCTATTTATACACAGATGCTAGTTTTTGCTAAAAGGCTTTCAATGGTTTCTTATGTCAAAGTCATTCTAGGCTCCGTTGCCTTTGCAATCTTTTGGATGCTGGCAGTTTTTCCTGCTGTTCCTTTTTTAACCTTTTGGCAGGACTGAAGGGTCCCTCTTATGTGCTGTTCTTCTGGTAATTTTCCAAGCAATAACTGCAGGTGACGCATATGATGTAGCTGACCTTTCCATTCTTGGCCCCCTTTTTGGTACCATGGTTGTCAGCGGGTATCTAGAACAAGCAGACACATTTAAGTACCTAAGCAAGTTACTTTCCTGAAGGAGCAAAGGAGGAAAAGACTTAATTTGTAGACTCTGCTTGATTTCTGTAGTTTTGAGTGCATTGTTCACCAATGATACTACCTGTATGGTTTTGACAGAATTTGTATTGAAAATTGCAACGCAGAACAATCTCCCACCTCACCCTTTCCTCCTTGCCTTGGCCTCAAGTGCTAATATTGGTTTTACAGCAACTCCAATTGGTAACCCCCAAAACTTGGTTATAGCTACTGTGAGTGCCATTTCTTTTGGGAAGTTTCTAAGAGCAATCCTCCGTGCAACAATCCTAGGAGTCATCGCAAACACTTTGATTCCTATGTTCATATTTTGGGATTCATTAACTATTCGGAAGGATGAAGAAGATTCATATGCAGACTTTGTAGCAGAGGAGAGTGTAAGTTCATACCAGTTCTCTCCCAGCACAATTATGTCACGCCAGAGTGGCAACCAAGCTCGTTATGAAGCTCTTATGAGCTCAAACGAAAGTGAGATTCAATGCGTACATAATGGTTCCCCAGATTTGAGGAATTCAAATGCTTCATGGAAGAGGAAGCTATGGAAATCAAGTGTTTATCAAATTTATTAGGTAATATCGTAAATTTAGTTGATTATACATATTAATTCATAATAAAAACAAAAAATTTAGGCAAAAACCCTTTTTAAGTCCCCAAGCTTACCCCAAAATAACATTTAAACCCATAAACTAAAAACGAAGTAGATAAACCCTCTAACTCCATTAATGATGCAAATAAGTCTTTCTCATTTAAGGGTATTCATGCTTTCAAAGTGATATTAAACATAAAATATCATTTGGCTCTTTTATGAAAAATATTTATTTGCATCATTAGTAGAGTTAGAGGATTTATCTACTTCATTTTTAATTAAAGGGCTTATCTACTTTATTTTTAGTCTAAGGGCTTAAATGTTATTTTGGGGTAAGTTTGAGGGCTTAAAAAGGGTTTTTGCCAAGAATTTAAAGATATAGTTTTGAATGAAGGATCCATGCCAAATAAAGAATAAAACTCAAGAAAAATAAAATTCAATTTAAGGATGTAACTTTCTTGATTTTTAATTATTAATGAATTCTTGTCATTTTTAATTTGATCTTCAAGAGTGTCCCAAAATGATCCAAAAGAACTCTTCAAAAAGCTTCCAAAAGAATTCCTCCAAAATCCTCTTAACTTTAATCTTGAATGGGTATTAACAAAAGGGTAGAAATCCTAACTAGAAAATTCTTAGGACCCACTAAAATAATAAAAAATTGAAGCAAAATTGTTGAAAATTATCTAAAAGGGTAGAGTGATTAATGAATAGGGTAATTCATGAGATACTTGAGTTAAATTTTACTTGAGCTTGACTCAAACTCTATTTGAACTCAACTCATTTAGTAAATGAGTCAAGCTCAAGTTTAGGATCAAGTTCAATATAAAGATGAGTTTGCGCTTAAAGGTGGAGCACTACTTGTGAACTATTCAATGTTAAATTAAAAATTATATTAAATTATATATTTATGTGTATCAATTTAATATATAATTTTTTTTATATAATTTAAATATATAATAGTAACTTACTTAAACTTAATAAGGCTAAAAAGAAAACTTAAATAATTGACATATTTTTATTTTTAACTAAAATCTTTAAAAAACTTAAAACCCAAAGTTTGCCCTAATTTAGTTTCTAATTCCACCAGCTCCTTCTTTGCAGCTTTACTAGTTGCCTAAGTTTTGTATGCCCCAATATAATGTTTCTATTTAAAATTTTGATATTTTAATATTTTTAAAAAATGTAAATATATTTCTAGTTGAATGATTGATTATTAAAATAATTTAAAATTATAAAAAAAAATTAAAATTCAACATAAAATACTTGTTCACTCGAATATTCACAAATTTGAGTATAAACTTAATTATTTATATCTCAATAAATACTTAAACTCAAAATTTTTAAATGAGTTTGAGTATAAACAACTAAGTACTTAACTTAATTTGACTTGTTAGGAGCCTATCCGAAGCTAAATTGCCGACATCTTCACTAATTCCGTGAATGAATAGTCCTCGTCGAAATTTTCGGCCCAAATGCAATTTTGGTTCTTTATTTTATTTTATTTTATTTTTTGGTTTTTTGCCCGGTATCCGGGACTTTGGCCTGATTAATCCGGACCGACTTGCGTCGCACACCTAGAAATGGTGGGTGAGTCTCCCAACGAAAACTGCTGTTTACATAAGGTCTCAAACTCAAAATCTTGCTTAAGTTGGAACAAGTCACTTACCACTTGATCCAACCCCTCATTGGTGCAATTTTGGTTCTTTATTAGTAAAACTGCTTTGGTCCCTCATATTTCATCAATTTTGGTTCTTTTATTAGTAAAACTGCTTTGGCTCTTCATACCCTTGAAAAAATTTTTGACCCCTTTTAGTGTCTTGCTTAAGCTCCATCCCTTGCAAGATGGTCGGTCGATTTGGCGATTTGGGGGGGGTGGAGGTGGATTGTGAGGCTTAGAGGAGGGGCGAGGAGCAGTGGAGGGATGGTGCATGGTGGAGCTTGTTGGATGTTACTGGGATATTCGAGGCGCAATGTTGGTTCCAAAAGTGGGGGAACTATTCTGTGGAGGACACGGAGGGAAGAAGGGGTGCATTGTGGGCTGTGTTTGGATACTGGGATGGCAACTAGAGGTGGCTTTTGTGAGACAACAGGTGGTCAAGCTTTGGGTGGGGAGTTTGAACATAAAAGAAGAAACATTGAAATATTTGCATGCAAGTCCTTCTCTTTAATAGTATGTGTTTTAGTTTCTCTTTTTTTTTTCTTTAGTTTCGTTGCGTTTGGGTCTTTAGTATAGGTTTGCTCAATACAGTCCTGGGCTTCTGTTTTTGAGTGTGGTTTTGTGGATTGGTAGTACTGCACTCCGCCCAAAGGCATTAGGCTCAGCTCAGGATTAGGAATAATACTCCAATTAATCTGGTTTGCTGAAAGCATGTGCAAGTGGAAGACACTTATTTTTCGCAAGCAACCTAATAAGGGTTCGTTATTTGATATTTCACCATGACAATTAAGAGGAGGATAGAAAGTCCATTTCAATCTTGACACAGTGCCTAAGTTAGGGTTTCTTGTTTATTTCCATATATATCTTTGGTAAATATAACCTCTCTTTATATTGACCATTTTTCATACAAAAAATAATTCTAATATCTTCTTGAGTTTCAAACACATTCCTCAGCCAATCATTTGCGTGTTAATAAAAAAAATGTGATTGCATCATTAAACATTTTATTTTGAATCACGGATCATTAATGTATCGTTAATTCATAAACAAGATGGTTATAAGAGCCTAAGTAGACATTATTGGTTCAATACCCTACATAGTAGAAGGGGAAAACATCCATGAACATGAATTCATGCATCTACGTCTAAAGATAAAAACACTAGCAAAGTATAGGTTGAATAAAGCCTAAACAAAATAAAGATCCCAAAGATATACCTTATCACTCTTCCCACCACCCATGCTCATTCTAGAAGGAAAATAGAAAACCCGTGGGAGACTATTCAAGTACCTAGAGTATCTATTATGCACTCACTAACTAATTTAATAACATGTCATGATAATTAATTTCTAAATTTATGTGACATTGTGATTATGGGTGCGTTTGGTTTGATTAGATTAGTTTATCATTTTATAATTTTTTTTCTTAAAAAACTAACTAATGTGTTTGAAAATATTAATTTATAAGTTAATTTTAAATTAATATTAATTATTTTACCAACTATCAATTAATTATTAAATTATCAGTTATTGTTCCTAATAATTAAGCCAAACAGATGCTATATCATTGCGGATGCCCAAAAGGACTTCAGCAGGCTTGGTTCTATGAATCTATGGTATAAATATAAAATCTTTGTAGCTCAATTCGCCATCACTGATTATTTGGCCAAAAAACTTTTAATATATAAAAATTAATTTAGGGTTTGAGAAACCAATCAATCATATCATAAATCAGATTATCATTAAAAAAAAAAAAGCCCAAAATCAAATCCTTCTACCTCCAACACTGCTAGTTCTTTTTTCAAAAATAAAGTAGATTAGTTTGTGCTTATTTTTTTTTTTCTTTTATCAGCAATGAAATGTTTTTATTACGTGGAATCAAAGGGTACTCCCTCTTTTTACAAACTATTTAGATTAATTTGTGCTTATTAGAAAAGAAAAAAAATTAAAACATCTTAACATGAAAAATATCAAAATACATGTATAATCCTAACGATGTCATAGATGGAGTAAGATCTACACTATCATGGAATAAGATCTACACTATCTTTCACCTACCTTGCAATTAAAACAATTAAAATTTTTCTATGGTTATAAGATTAGGTGTCTTGTTTTGAAGTACTTATTTAGCAAGTGGCAAATAGATATTCAATGGTTGCATCCATTGACAATTAAATAGATATCGTCTGGTAAGTTAAGCATAAAATTCAAATCTTAAGTCAATATTTAAAAGAATTAATATTCTTAAATACATTACTTTAATATAAAAGTATGTCCTCAAAATTATTTATAAAAAAATTAATCTCAAAATACGTAAAAGTTGAATCAGCATAGCTTAACAGTAAATTAAAGAAAAAAAAAAAAAGCAAGTGGCTGCAAATAGCAGCCCAGGGATGAAACGTGTGTTACATGAGACCGTGGATGTCCATGTTAGGCCATGGAATGAATGAGGAGCAGCATATGCACATGGACCAATGTCAAGTTGCCAACAAACATGATAATTAGAAAAGGAACCGTGGGGGCCATGACCACGTGCGGCGGTGATAGTGGTGGTGGTGGTGGGTGGGTCCTGGGACCATTGGAACTTGCCTCCGCATACATCCCCCCTTCCCCCTCCATGCGTTTGGGTTTGGCCGTGTTTCATGTTCATGTCATGTCCAGCCTGCCTTTCTTTTGCATCACTGAAACACATACCACTTTCTTTTCTTTTTGTAAATGTTTCTTTCTTCATAAATCATGTTATTAGGACATTGTTTTTCACTGTCTTATATTAGGATACTACTTTCATAAATTGGAATATTATATTGAATTTTTTTTTCCTTTAAACCCTCCTTAATTACAATCTTACTAGCTAATAGAAGATTTAGGCTAAACAATCTAAGTTTTGAAGCCAACTACAAGTTAATTTCTTTAAATTATGTTAGATCAATGTAAGAGATATATTTTTAAAATAATTTGAGAATTAATCTTAAATTATATATTAACTAATTGAGAACACCTTAATTATATATAAAAAATAAACAAAAAGAAGTTGTTACAAAATTTATTAGTTGGTATCCTTTATCATAGATTGCCTTAGATGATTATTATTACAAAGTTTGAAGTTTTTTCTTTTTCTTGTCAGGAAGAGTTGCTGTAACTGGGTATGATTTAGTATTGTTGTAGTCTTTGGTATTTAATTTAAATTTAAAAAATTTTGTAATTACTAAAACTAAAACTAAAAATAAAAAATTACAACAATTTGTTTAGAACACATTTTAATATTAATAACTAAAACTATAAATTTATATAACAGAATTAGAATTATTTTTGTTTTTATTTCTCTAATAATTATAATAATATGTTGAAAATACACATGAAATTAAATAAATATTTTATTTTGAGTTGTGAAATTTATAAAAATCAAAGCTCAAAATTAAAAACACCATAATCATATTAAATAGAGTTTAAGTTATTAAGTAGTAATATATTTTCAATAAAAGGAAAAAGTTTATTCACAAAAAAAATAAAAAAATAAAAGGAAAATGTCTCTAAAAATTCAAGTCTTAGAGCAAACATCTTAAAAAATTTATACTTTAGTATGTATTAAGCCAATAAAAGATATATGTCTTTAAAATTATCTGAAGAAAGATTAAACTCAATATGTGAAAAAACTAATTCAAAACATCTTATAAAAGTAAATAAAAAAAATAATAATAAAAGCAAAATACCTTGCATATAAGTACTAGATAGATAGGTGACTGTGGTGATGATAAATAAAAGAAGAGGTCAGCCCCATTCCGCGGTTTAAAATAAAAAAAAAAAAAATTTAAAATGTAAATATATCTAAAATGTGTTGTCCGTCCGAAATTACAATCCTGGATGAAATTACTCT